TCAGTGGTACTTAACAATAAATTATCATCACAATCAAGATGTAGAATATTTCTATCAAACCCCAAAGTTTCCCTTCCTCCCTTAGCAGATAATTCTCTCCTTCCTAGTCCTATTGTTATAGCCAGATGACCTTGAGTAGGTTCCAACTTGTAGGCATCCTGGTGTGGAGCTGTGGGTTTATGCACCAGACTGCAAAGCTGTCTGAACTGCAAGGTTGGCAGTTCAAGCTCACCAGCTGCTCCTTGGAAACCCTATATAGGGTCTCTATGGGTTGGAACCGACTCAACAGCACTTAACAACAACAACAAGAACAAAAGACTGCCAGTCCTGCACCATTCTCACAATTGTTGCTTTATTTGAGTCCACTGTTGCAAGTATTGTGTCAATCTATGTTCTTAAGGGTCTTCCAACAAAAAAACCTATAACATACTTTACTAAGCATCATGTGTTTCTGTAGGGACTAGTCCTTGGAGTCCTGGTGTGGTGTAGGACAAGCACTGGACTGCTACCTGCAAGATCGGCGGTTCAAACTCAACTACTGCTTCTTGGAAACCCTACATAGGATCTCTATGAGTCGGAACTGGCTCAATGGCACTTAACAATAACAACAGGGACTAGTCCCTCCTGAAGGTATGCTGTGGAGTTGGTTCTGACTCATAGTGATCTTGCATAGGGTTTCCAAGACTGTAAGTTTCTACAGGAGAAGAAAGCCTCATCTTTCTCCTGAGGAATGGCCAGTAGTTTTAAACTGCTGGCCTTGAGGTTAGCAGTCCACTTTGCAACCACTATGCTCCAAAGCTCCTTAGTCCCTCTTGATTGTTGTTGTTAAGTACCATGAAGTCGGTTCCGACTCATAGTGAGGCTACACAGGGTTTTCGAAGCTGTAAATCTTTACTGGAGCAGAATGCCTCATCTTTCTCCTGCAGAGCAGCTGGTAGTTTCGAACAGCTGACCATGTGGTTCGCAGCCTGATTCATAACCACTATGCTACCAGAGCTCCTTAGTCCCTCCTGATAGCATGTCTAAAATACATAAGACAAAGTCTTGCCATCCACATTTCTAAGGAGAACTCTGGCTGGACTTCTTTCAGGACAAATTTGTTCTTTCTTCTAGCAGTCCATCCTATAAACAATAGGAGTCCTGGTGTGTCACTGTGGGTTAATGTGCCAGACTGCAAAGCCGTTTGAACTGCATTGTCAGTGGTTCAAGCTCATCGGTTGCTATGGGTTGGAACTGACTCGATGGCACTTCACAACAACATAATAGTTCTTTGGTCTTTCTTATTCATTATCCACCTTTTGAATACATGAGCAGGGCCAGGTTAAGGCATGTGAGGACCCTAAACATTTATAATTTGTGGTGTCCCCACATCTGCTTTAACCATGCATTCAAATGGGATATATGTTATACACACATGTGTGCGTGTATGTATGCCTTCACAATGTGACTTCTTTTTTTAAATATGACTATAGTATTAGTGATTATATGTAAAAGTGACATTTTAGTTTGGTTAAATGAGATGAGCCGGATTATAAATGTTTTGTGGCTAGCTGGTACTATATGCCATATTTTCTACATAAAGAATACCCCACAATCTCTACAATGTAGAAAATGAGTCAATGAACTTAGTTGTTTCAACAACCAATATAAAATTACGTTGTTCTCCCACAAAGAAAAATTGGCTTTCACCAAGTTTGCTCTAAATGGTTGATATTTCAGGATAATCATGTGGGCTTATTAGAAAGACGTTTTAAGAAAATGGAAAACTGATTTGTTGAGAAAAAGACTAGGAAAATTGTGTCGAGGAATTAATTTCCATCATGACAGCGCAGCTGCTCATGCTTTGAGGGTAGCCAGGGCTGTCCTAGGCGAATTTCAGTGGGAAACCTTACACAATCCACCATATGGCTCTGATCTCGTTCCTGACTTCTTTGTGTTCTCCAAACTCAAAGAACACTGAAAAGGAACATTATTTCAGTCCCTTAAGGACACCAAAGCTGCGGTTTTAATGTACAGCCTTAGGAAGGGTATAGACCTAGATGGAGGATATGTTGAGTAGCAATAGCTTCACATTTTGATATTTTTGTTTTAAAGGTCTCTATGATTTTGTAGCAAATAATTTTTGACTTGCCCTTGTATAAATATAATCTGTTTTTGCCCAGTTACTGTGATATTGGATCCAGTTGCATATTGGATGAACGTAGCAAGAGTGGACAAGACTGGACAGCCCGTCTCTACCTTTTTGTTTATTAGAAAGAAATATACTCCTAAGAGACTTGCTGAGATATGGAGTTTCAATACCATGGGAGTATCATATGAAAAAGAGCATTGCAGTCATTCATCTTTGCATTCCTCATTGTTCTAAGCACAAGTCACTAACATATTTACTTAACACATTGTTCCAAGCATCAGTTGTAGACACATTGGTGTGTCAGGTCGTAAATACTTGATGAAAGAAAAAAGGGAAAGAAAGGAGAAAAAGGAAACAAAACAAAGAAAGAAAGAGAGACTAACAGTTCTAGCAGGGTTCTGGTTCAACAATAAGGAAGCCATTAAGGCCCATAACAGTCTAATGAATTATTCTTAGTTATTAATGTTAATGATAACAGAGACTGCTAAAGACCTACGTTTGAAATATACTAAAGTTTGAATCAGTAAAACTTTTAAAGTTGCTGTTGAGGATAGGAGATATCTACCTACCACTCTCAAACAGTTACTTGTATATTACAATACCTTAACAAAGATGCAAATCTTTTCCTCCTTGGTGTACAGGAGCTACATTTAAATCTTTCAGGGAAAAGGAAAAAGGAAGTTAACATTTAACAAATGCCCTCCAAAGTCATTGTATTTAATGCCTTATAATCTGTTTTATTTCATTCTCGAAACTACCCTCTAATTTAGGTTAAAAATTTGTAGAAGAGAATTCTTTGTTGGGAAAGGAAATAAGAAAGTAAAAGAAGTTTGGGGGTATACCTCCAAGAGGGGGGAAAGATTAAAAATTGTTTTTGGGGCTCAGAAGGAGTCCCTGTGTTCTTTTCTGACTTTTTTTCTTTTTTTTTTCTCCTGTGAAATCTCAATAAACTGGAATGTCCAAGTTTGTTACAGTCCTGAGTGTCTATCACTGACCTATTCAGGGTGCTTCTCCTGATGTGGTGACCATGTTAATTTCAAAAGCTAACACGCTCTTATGAACTCTTGTGTACTGTTTGAAGTTATCAATTAAGGTGCAGGTGGAATTTGGGGGTTGAGATGTAGCTAGTAGAAATGGATAGAAATCATCTTTTTATATTTTGTTGTCATTGAAATACAAAATGATTTTGCATTCCACTTTTTTTTTGCATTCCACCTTGGGAGATAATTTTCTTTTTTTTTTTTAACAGCAAGTTGGAAGATAAACTTTGGACAATGTATTACACTATGCCCTTTGTAATTAAATAACCCAAGATAATGTGTAAAAGTTTAGTGGAGATTTAAATTCCTGAGCTGATTAAAGAGAGCTGTTACGACCATAAGGCTTAAAAAATGTCTCCCTAAGTTTCTAGGAATTACAAAGTGATGAATCGGAGTCCTGGTGCGGCGCTGTGGGTTAATGCGCCAGACTGCAAAGCGGTTAGAATTGCAAGGTCGGTGGTTCAAGCTCAGTAACTGCTCCTTGGAAACCCTATGCAGGGTCGCTATGGGTCTGAACCGACTTAATGGCATTTCACAACAACAACACTTATCAGGAGTCCAATGTGGCGCTGTAGGATAAGCACTGGACTGCTAACCGCAAGGTCTGTGGTTCAAACCCATCAGCCATTCCTAGGAAATCCTATACAGGTTGCTGACTCGATGGCACTTAACAATAACAACATATCACATTGTAGCACCGGACTGCAAACCGTAAGGTGAGTGGGTGGGGATTTCAAACCCACCAGCTACTTCTCAGAAACCCTATACAGGGTCGTTATGAGTTGGAACCTACTGGACAACACTGAACAACAACTTTCCAATCTTGCAGAACACCTCACTATTAATTAACAATTAAAAATAAGATAGTACACGTCAACTCAAAGACTTTGGCCTGAGCAGGAAGGACCTCTGGGCTGTGTCTAATCCACGGAATCGTGTAACCACTGAAGGTCAAGATGAAAGTGCTGTTTCAGGAAGATAAATCTGGCTGTGTGAGCAAGATAGGCTGGGGTGGGGAAGAGATAGAAGCAGAGAGTCCATTCGGAAACTACTGCAATATTCAGGGTGAGGTGATAAGAGCGGGACTGGAATAGGAATAGATGGAAAATGGGGCTGCCTGCGGGAAACACAGGGATGACCGGACCCAGATTGGTTTGGGAGAGTGAGGAAGAGAAGAGACCCGAAGTCTTCGGCAAAGGTCCTTTACTTCCCTTCTGAACTTAAAGCGGACATCCTCGGGCCAGGCTGGAAGCTGGAGGCTCCAGCTGGTTAGGATGGCAAAAACCACACGAAAGGCGGAACCACCAGGCACGTCCTCCAGTTCCCCTTCCCTCCCCGCCTAGGAACTCAGACTGCCCCTCCGGCCTGACCCCTCCCTCCTCTCTTCTCTAGGCCTCTGCCCGCCCCCGGCGCTGCGCTCTGCCCCTCCCTGCCCCCCTCTCCCGTGGGGCGCTGACTCGCCCAGCTGCCACGTCTCACTGATGACATCACCAGGGCCTCTCTGCCTTAGCCAATCCGCTAGGGGGAGTACAAGCGAAGTCCTAGCCAGCGAGTCAGCAAGGAGGGGAACAGGGAGGAGCGGCCGGGTGGGGGTCAGAGAGTGGGGAATGGGGTGGACGACAGCTCACCCAATACGCATGCACGAAAGGCGCAGGGCTTGGCGGGAAGTTGAGTCCTGGTCGCTGCGCTGCACCGGCAGTCTTCAGCGCCCACGGTTCGCCTCGCGACTCTCTTTCCCGGCATGCCACTCGGTGCGGCCGCCTTCTGGGCTGTGTAAAGGCCCCTCGGTCTAAGGCTTTCCTATTTCCTGGTTCGCCGGCGGCCATTTTGGGTGGAAGCGATAGCTGAGTGGCGGCGGCTGCTGATTGTGTTCCAGGGGGACGAAGTCAGGGAAGACGTTTGCTCTCCCGGAACAGTATCTCATTCCTTTCCTTTGATTACCCGTGGCGCGGAGAGTCAGGGCGGCGGCTGCGGCAGCAAGGGCGGCGGTGGCGGCGGCGGCAGCAGCTGCAGTGACATGTCCAGCATGAATCCCGAATAGTGAGTGCAGGAGAGCGCCGGTCTGCTGGGTCCATGGGCCAGCTTGGGGAAGCTCAAGAGGGCGAGTAGGACGGGGTGGAGGCATCGGCCGGGGTGAGGTGAGGGTGATATGGTTGGAGAGGCCGGCGGCCAGGATTCGGTTCCCATTGTCTGACGGCTGAGGGGCTGCCGGGGGAGGGGGCGGGTCGGGAGGGGGGTGTTGAGCTGCAGGAGCCGGGACCGGATCAGGTGGGCAGGCCGGAGTGGGGCGCCGGTGCGGAGGAAGGGACCGCAGAGGGGGCTGGGGCGTTGGGAGTTGAGTGGTGGGGTGGTGGGAAGGGGTAGCCGCCTTTGGAGGAAGTGACTTTTGAAGGACTTGTTTTTAAGGGGAGAAGGTAGGGTGGGGGAGCTTTCCTAGTGTGCTCCGTGAGACCCTTCGCCTACACTCGGTAGCGCTGTCCGGATCGCTCAGGCGAAAACCAGCTTTACTTGTAAATCCTGAGTCTGTTAGCTCTCTTCTCCCACCCTCCCCGCCAGGTTACAGGTAATACGGATGCATTTCAGCACTGCGTGGGATTGAGGTGAATGAGGTGATGGTGACAAGCGATTCAAAATTATGAGTTCTCTTTGAGTATTTTGAAGGAGTTTTTGTCTTTTGATTACCTAAGTGGGTTTGGGGTGTGTGTGTGTGTTTTCTAGAGGACGCTAAAGTCCTTTCGTTTTCTGTAGGTCAAATAAAAAACCACATAACTAAAAACCAAGACCCATTTTCCTGATGTTAACAAATTAAAGGAAGCCTTTGCTGTCAAGTTGAAAGAGAAACGAATGGGACTATGATAGATCTGTAGGTTTTGTGTTACCTACTGAAGACTTGTAGATACGGAATGAGGTTCCATGACGTGTCATGAAAAGTTAATGCATTTCTTTTTCTTGCTTACTCCAGAAGTCACCATAACAGATGTGACACACCTGCCTCCTTTCCTGGGAACTGGTGTGTTCACTTACTTTCCTTGGGGAGACTTGATTGGGTTCTTCTCATTTCCCTTTAAAAACAATCCTCCTGAAGAGGTTTCATTGACATTGCTTTTTATAAAGGGGCTGGGGAAATTTTTTTTTTAAATTAAAGGTGAGTATTAGTCCTAAAAGTTGAGATTATTTGCTTAACATTTCCCCCTAAAAGATCCACCCCTCAGTTTAGCTGACTGTCATGTGTGTGTCACATGTCTCTTGCAAAATGCATTCTGACTTCAAGTTTTGTAATATTGTGGTTTGACAGGGAAATGTTCTTTTTCTTCTGTACTAAGCAGAAGCCATAGTATTTTAGAACATATTATATACTTTTAAGAAGTTGAGGATAGTACACTTAAAGTGACATATTTGCTGTGTTGACACTTTATTAATCAGGGGCTCCAAGCCCAGAGTTGGTTTTGCTTAGTTGGGCAGAGTTGAACTTGAAGCCTCTAATTTAATACTTTTCCTGGCCAACAGTAGAGCACATGGATTTGCCACTTTATGGAGGTTTGTAGGCCTCTACTGTTCAGGGAGTTTATGTTTGCTACATACATGTAGTATTGTAAATAGATCTTCTAAATATTTGTTGAGCAGAACTGTGACAATTTAGTCTCTGAGTATGTTTATTTTTGTAAAATAGGATAATAGGAAGCATTCCTGTTCTTATTCCTACTAGAATTCTTGGGAGGTTCAAACTGCACCAGCACTCTTTAGGTGGTATATACATCATTGTCATGGAAAACATTGTACTAGTGCTAGGATTTAGAAATCAAATCTTTATCTTCAAAGAGTTCATAATGGAATATAGAACTTAGATTACATGTATGTTAAATACTAGTACATACAGCAAGTTCCACATAGTGGGGTGGATCTAACAAGGTTTCAGAGGAGGGTGAGTGGGTTTGGTTCACAAACAATTGGAAGAAGTAGAAAATCTGACCTTTCTTTAAAAAAAAAAAAAAAAGCCTTACTTGCAAGGGAACTAGAAGCCATTAGATTTGGTGAAACAGGCGGAAATGATAGTTGGAAATTCATTAACTTAAAAATTCAAGACAGTATTTCTTAAATACTGTGTCAGACCATCCTTTCATTTGAGAACTCTAGTTTACTGACTCCAACAGAACCAAAGCCAAAAATAGTTAAAAAAAATTTTTTTCTGGGATCTGGTGTTCTCCTTTGGCCTCCTATTTTTATATTCTAGATTGTGCCTAGTCTATTACAAGAATGTGGGGAAGTCTATGTAGGATTCCTGGTGTGGTGCTGTGGGATAAAGCACTGGACCACAGGTTGGTTTGAACCACAAGGTTGGTGGTTCAGACTCACCAGTTGCTTCTTGGACACCGTATACAGGATCTCACTATGAGTCGGAAATGACTTGATGTCACTTAACAACACAAATTAAGGTCTATGAGTTGGCAGTGGGTTTGGGTTTTGGAAAAGTGAAAATTACTTGGGTTGAGAGGAGTTTATGGATGATACTTCATTAAGGAAGACCTTAAAGAGCAACTGAATTTCTGAAACCTGATTTGCCAGTTTCTCCTCTTTTTCTTTAATGAAATTTGTTGTCATTATAAAATAGAGAAAATTTGGAAAAATAGGTTAAAGAAAGAAACAGATTCTTAGAGTTCAGTACCCGAATGTAAGTCCTTTTTTTTTTTTTAAATACCTTGTTCTAAAGTTTAAAATCTTTAATTTATTACTAAATTAGAACTTTTAATGGATATGATTCTAGAATGTTACTTGTTAACCTTTACAGTCACTTATTATATGCCAAGGAGTCCTGGTGTGGCGCTGTGGGTTAATGTGCTGGATGGCAAAGTCCTTTGAACCATAAGGTCTGCACTTCAATATCATTAGCCGCTCCTGGGAAACCCTACACAGGGTCCCAATGGGTGGACAGCACTTAACAACAACTATATGCCAAATACTGTGCTGTTTAAGAATAGTATGTTAGTTAATGTTTAGGAATGCACCTCAAATGTTCATTCACCTTGTTGGTTTACCATCTACTCATTTATCTTACTTTCATACGTTTTACATATGCCCTATGGGTGCTATTAATTTAGTAATGAAAATGGGTACTTGACAAAAGAAAAAGTTTGGTTGTTTTAGAAGGACCAGAATTTTAGATTTGTATTGATTGAAATAAAACTACCTGTTGGTAATTTTTATTACTGTAAGCTCTTTATGGTCATTTAAGTTGCAAGATTTTGATTTGGGGATGAGAAGGAGTAAGTTAATCAATGAGTTTTTAGTTATCCCTTTAATGGCTTTTCATGTTATTTGGCTGATTTGGGAAAAATGACAATCGGGGGTTATTTTACAGTAGAATTTAAGAATAATGAACATTTAAATTTTAACTACAGATATAAACCGGAAGTAATTGGAAGTGTAATCTGAATGTATAAAAGTAAATGGATCCACCCCACCACAGAGGATCAGAGCTTTGTTTTCTCAGGAGGGCTGAAGAAAGATTATGATTTTCTGAGCTGGGAGGGTGAAGCAGGTAGTGATTACTTCAGCACACTGGAGAAAAAATACTTCACATTATTCTCATACCAAAAGCTTTTTCATTACTCACTAGTGTCTAAATACATTGTAATGTTTTTCTTTTAGTGGTTGCTTGAAAATTAAGAAAACACGATAGTTACTACTTAGTCTTTAAATGTTTTACAAAGCATGTTTACCTCTTATGAATATACCAGCTAGCTACAGTAGGAAGAACTATGATAAATTGTAGTCTACCTGGATCAACTGGAGGACTATAATGCAGAAAATGTTAGAATAATTCCTTTTTTTTTTTTTTTCCCTTTTGAATATACCATGGCTCCAGAGTTTCTCAAGATTTAATCGTTCGTTCAGACGACTTATTCTTCGGTCATGATAGACTCATGGAACATATGACCTGTGCCTCTAATAAATTTATCTTTAAGTGTCTGAAAATAAAAGCAGGTTAATCACTTCTGTCCGTAACAATATAATTTCATTAAAGATATCACTACTGACATTTATATAGTTTTTTTTTTATTAGAATTTTTCATTTGAAAAGCAGGACCCAACTAAAAGGTTTCCTTTCATTGGTTTTCAATGATTTTTTGGTGGATCCTCGTGGTAATGAAAAATTCAGAAAAGTTCAAAAATAGAAAAATAACTGGTATTTTCACTATCTAGAATATGACTTTTTAAAGTCTTTAGAGAATCCACATCTGTTGTTTTTTGGGTAATTTACATTTCCAGTTGCTGCTGCTGTTAATAGCAACCTTGTAAGGGGTTTCAGAGGCTGTAAATCTTTACGGGAGCAGAAAGCTTCCTCTTTCTCCCATCGAACTGCTGACCTTAAGGTTCACAGCCCGATTTGTAACCACTACTTAACTGCATAGAATCTCCACATAAAATTTCTTAAAGAAAAATTATTTATATATTTATTTTTTGTGAATGGGATGATCTTTTAGGACCATTTGAAGATAACTGAAATTTTACATTTTAAAATCTCATTTAACCTTTTCATTGTTGTCTTTCTGACTCATAGTGACCCTGTGTAGGGTTTCCAAGAGGCCGCGGGTGGGTTTGAACTGCTGAACTTGTGGTTCACAGTCTATTGCTGATCCTACAGCGCCCAAATGTGGGAAACTGGCAGGTTTTTTGTGTGTGTTTTTTTTTTTTTTTCCATCCTGTTTCAGCAAGTAAATCTTGTAATGGTTTTTATTTTTACTGAGCTGTTGTCTTTAAAGATGGAAGAGCTTTAAAAATCAGTTTTCTTGTCAACTCTGTAGTTGGCTTTTAAAGAGAACTTTGAGTTTTGTTATTTATTTATTGGGTATTTCAGTCTTTGTCTTCTGGAAGCAGTTTTAGTAACCTACCTAGGTGCTGGCATCTTAATATATTCATATCTTATTACAGTCCTTTAGGGGGTATATGTTTTCTGCTTGGCAACTGTTTTTGACTATACATATGTGATGATTTCATTATTGTCAGTTGTAATAGTTAAATTTCATTTTTAATAGTAAAGA